TCTTGTGGCACCAGCTTGTCTGCTGTTTGCTGGGCTTCTGGTGCCGTAGGAAGCAGCACTATCTTGTGTCCTATTGCAGCCATTGTTTGCTCTAATCTTGGTCCCTAGCTGGATCTCGTGCTCATGTACAGTGATTGAGATGGTAATATCCATTTCTACCCACTACTTTTATTGCTGTCGGTGTGGCCAATATCACCTGGTGTGGTCCTGTCATTCCATCTCCTTCTGAATGCTTTGATATACATCAAATCTCCTGGTCCCACCTTCTGCAGATCTTTGTTAGGTTTAATAGTCCTTGCTTCTGTGGCCCCTTTCACCTTTTGGAACAAAGTTCTGTGTATTTGGGTTAGATGTTTTACATAGCTTGCAAGTTCTCCTTCCAGCTGTTCGAGTGAGGGCTCTTTTTAGAGTCCTCTTAAATATGGCACTGGCATCGGTCGACCTGATAATCATTTCATGTGGTGTTAGATGTGGTATGTGGTTAGTCAGCATTCCCATACTCATTACGGCTAACGGCAGTACTTGCACCCAATTTAATTTGGTCTCTTCGCAGATTTTAGCCAATTTTGCTTTTAGTGTCCTGTTAGCTCTTTCCATCATCACTTGTGATTGTGGGACATCCAAACCTTGCAGGCATGCTTTACTTTCTGGGGCTACTCTATTTACAAAATGTACACCATTGTCTGAACTAAGTTTGTCTCAAATTCCAAAATGAGTTATAACATCACTGCACAGGAACTTTACTACTGTGCCCGCATCTGCATGTGCTGTTGAGTGCGCTTCCTCCCATCTTCTGAATCTGTCAACTACCACCAAGATGTACTGTTTTCTCTCATTCCTCTCTATCATGTCCACAAAGTGAATTATCAGGTGACGAAATGGTCAATCTGGATGCGGGATGTGTCCTATCTGAGCCGTGAATAATTTTCAAATGCTGTGCTGTGCACATATCTTGCAATTTGTTAGTGTGTGTTCAATCATGGGTCCTAGTAATGGTGTCCACCAGGTACTTTTAAGTCTTTTTACCACTTCCATCCTTGCGCAATGGTCTGAAGCATGTACAGTACTGATCAATATGTGCAACAAAGACAGAGGAGCTACAAAGTGTCCTGTTCTGTTATTTTTGCTGGCTCCCATTTTCTTTCCAGCGCATGATTCGTGGACTAAGCCTGCATTTTGTGCTTCCGCTAGGGATGCTAAGTTTGTCTCTGGTGGAGACGTGAGACGTGTCTTCAGGTACCGAGACTGGCATAACATCAATATGGTTCAATGCTTCCTGCTTGGCAGCTTCATCGTCAGCTGTATTCCCTTTAGTGACATATAAGCCATCTGATTTGTGTGCAGCACATTTAACAATAGTCAATTTGGATGGTAATGATATAGCTTGTAATACCTCAGAAATGGTTTGACCATGAGTTAAAGATGAACAGTCTGCTCTATGAAATCTGCACTGCACCCAGATTAGACCATATAAGTGGCACACCCTGTATTCACATGCTGAATTGGTAAAAATTGTACAATATTTTCCATTTGCTAAGTTTACAGGCTGCAGTTAAGTTCTTGAGCTCTGCTAGTTGGGCTGAGCAAGGTTGACTGAGAGTAACAAATGATAAGAGGGCTGGTCACATAACCCGCTAGATAACAATCACATAACCTGCTTAATTCCCCTCTGCCCCCCTAAAACATGACCCACCTATGAAAAACATCAGAGAGGAATGTGACAGTGGCTAATTTTCGAGATCTTGATGTGCCTTTAAATGTTTGTTAGAGGCAACATGATAGTAGCTCACCCTCCAATGGCGTTACCATTCTATCTGCTGGATTTACTGTCTGGCACCTTTTGGATTTTCAATTCTGGCACAGAGAGAATTACGTCATTACATTATTCTGTCTTACATGCATGAGTAATCACAAACACCGGGCTTGTTAGCAGTGTGTGCAGGGCTTGGGTGTGTATAAGGTAGTGGGGTGGCTCATAGTGATCACAGAAGCTTTTAGATAAGCGAAGGCTGCTGCCACTAATCCACGATAACATGGTGGCATTCCCTTTTCTACATTGTTGTAGGGGCAGTACTAAAGTAGGCAATGAACTGTTTACCTTGGCCTTGATGTTGGCAAATCCATGTTTTTCAGAGACATACAAATGAAAAGGCTTACTATAATTGGGCCCAGCCAGTATATGGCCCTGTCCATCGTCCCTTTGATGCGGTGAAGTTGTCCTGTCCCCTTCGCAGAAAAACACCCCCAAAGCATAATGTTTCCACCTCCATGTTTGACAGAGGGGATGGTGTTCTTGGGGTCATAGGCAGCATTCCTCCTCCCAAACGCGGCGAGTTGAGTTGATGCCAAAGAGTTCTCCATTTTGGTCTCATCACACACACACACACCTTCAGTTTCCTTGATATTTGTTGTTCGTTCATTGGCAAACTTCAGACGGGCATGTATATGTGCTTTCTTGAGCATGGGGACTTTGTGGGCGCTGCAGGATTTCAGTCCTTCACGGCGTAGTGTGTTACCAATTGTTTTCTTGGTGACTATGGTCCCAGCTGCCTTGAGATCATTAACTCCACGAGGTGAGATCTTGAATGGAGCCCCAGGCTGAGAGAGATCGACAGTTCTTTTGTGTTTCTTCCATTTGCGAATAATCGCATCAGCTGTTGTCACCTTTTCACCAAGCTGCTTGCGAATGGTCTTGTAGCCCATTCCAGACTTGTGTAGGTCTACAATCTTGTCCCTGACATCCTTGGAGATCTCGTTGGTCTTGGCCATGGTGGAGAGTTTGGAATCTGATTGATTGATTGCTTCTGTGGACAGGAGTCTTTTATACAGGTAACAAGCTGAGATTAGGAGCACTCACTTTAAGAGTGTGCTCCTAATCTCAGCTCGTTACCTGTATAAAAGACACGTGGGAGCCAGAAATCTTTCTGATTGAGAGGAGGTCAAATACTTATTTCCCTCATTAAAATGCAAATCAATTTATAACATTTTTGAAATGTGTTTTTCTGGATTTTCTTGTTATTCTGTCTATCACTGTTCAAACAAACTTAACATTAAAATTATAGACTGATCATTTCTTTGTCAGTGGGCAAACGTTCAAAATCAGCAGGGGATCAAATACTTCTTTCCTTCACTGTACCTATCATGCTATCTACTCCCTTTGGTGAAATTCTTTTGTACTTTTTGTCTGTGGAGGTATGTATATGGATTATTAGTAGGTTTCTACTCCCGAACCTGTGCTGCTTCTTTAACCATAGGCCCTAATTCTTTAGATTCAAATCCTTCTGCTGCTACAAGAGAGTTGTGTGCGATGGCCCCCGGCATGTGATGCCAGTCCTTTAGGTCATCTTTCAAGAGAACCATGGCAACCAATCCATTTGTGGTCCTATTACCACATCCATTGTTATCACCTTGAATTGTCTTTGCTCCATTATTTCATTTCACAGCTTCCAGTACTTCTTGTTTCTCTGCAGTCTGCTCACATTGCTTCTTTCTCCATTTCAGATAGGTCTGTTTCAGTTCAGAGGAATTTGGAACAGTATATTCCAGCCAGTACATGTCTCGTTTCTTTGTTTGCCTCTGTCAGTAGGTACTGTCCTACAGAGGTTTCATCCAGATAGATTACCTAAAGTCCTGTGGGACTGTAGTGTGTTGTTGCTGCTAGTTTGCACAGTAGATCTCTGTCGAGTAGGTTCACTGAGGATTTTGGTGGATGGAGAAGTGGTGCTGATGTTGTGGTGTCTTCAACTGTCAGTGTTTGGAGCTCTGAAAATCTCAAAACATATGTTGTTCCCTAGAAGCCAGTGGTTTTTATTGAGTTGTGACAGATGTGGAGTCTGGAGATTTCCTGGCTTATACATGAGAATATGGCACCTGCATCGATCATAAATGGGGCTGGTTTCATGCCATTGATAGACACTGTGATTGTTAGTTCTTGTCTTGGATGCAGTGTGGTGACATACAGCTCCCCCTCCAGCTGCTTTGAGCATTTCCAACTCCAGTTGGCTGCACGTCCCATACTGGGTCCTGCTTGTTGTTGCTATTGGTTTGGGCATAGAGGCCCACCTTGCTGGTCTCTATATTCTGGCTGCCCTGGTTGCTTCTCCCACAGGAAACCTGGCAATTCCTTTTGTGTGCCCTTTTTCTGCACAACCCCAACATTCAGGTGGCTATGACCTGGGGGCCTGCGAGCTGCTTCTGTCCTTGTTGTAGGGCCTGTGGCCACTTCTGCCACTTCCCTGGACCTTCCTTCTGTCCCGTTCTCTCATGGATTTGGGGTGGCCCTTACTAGTTGCCGAGGTAGACATATAATGGGGCACTGGCATTGGTGGGTTGCTGCATGTACAACTGCAGCTGAACTGAATATTCATACAAAACAATATCGTCATTTAACTTTTGTAAGACACTTTTAGTGTCTGAAAGGCTGTATGCAACGTGGCGTGAATAATGAATATTGTTGTGATCACACCTGAGGAGACAAAGACCCTCAGTGAGGAATGTGAATGTGGGAACTAGAAGAATGAATGTGAGACTTAATGATTGAATGTATTGTTTGTAGCTTATTTCACAATATCAAGTTTAAGTTAAAATAAGTAATCCGACTATACATTTTCTTTACTAAACACTTTACTTAAAAATTTTAGACCTACACTTCCATTCAAAAGTTTTAGATTGGTAAGATTTTTAAAAAAATTTTTAAGAGAAGTCTATTCTGCTCACCAAGGCTGCATTTATCCATCCATCCTTCTTCTACCTTACTCCTTTTTCAGGGTCACAAGGGAACCTGGAGCCTATCCCAGGAATCATCAGGCACAAGGCGGGGTACACCCTGGTGCCGGTCCATCGCAGGGCACAATCACATACACACTCCCATTCATACACTACGGACACTTTAGACACACCAATCAGCCTACCATGCATGTCTTTGGACTGGGGGAGGAAACCAGAGTACCTAGAGGAAACCCCCGCAGCACGGGGAGAACATGCAAACTCCACACACACATGGCCCCGGCGGGAATCGACCCCCTGGACCCTGGAGGTGTGAGGCCAAAGTGCTAACCACTAAGTCACCGAGGCTGCATTTATTTGATCCAAAAAACAGCAAAAACAGTAAATTGTGAAATATTTACTTTCCTGTGATCAAAGGCGAATTTTCAGCATTATTACTCTGTTCTTCAGTGTAACAAAGTCCTTCAGAAATTATTCTAATATGCTGATTTGCTGCTCAAGAAATGTTTATTATTATTAATATTATCAATGTTGAAAACTGTTGAAAGAAAAATAATTGAAGTGCCCAGTGCACACAGGGAGAGACAAGAATATTACAGAAAGTGGATGGTTTGTACTCTCATCCACCTTTGCGTAACCTACTTGCTCACATAGTATTGCACATAAGCAGGAAAGTGAATGAAACTGATGATGAAACGTAATGCTTTTTAAGGCATTGTTGGGTGCATTTAACCCTTAGCATAGATCGCCTCAGCAAATTACCATTTGAATAGCACGCTCCCTGTTTATTTTCACAAGGTGTTATTGCCATTGTGATTGTAGACAAATAAAAATAGACTCTTTATAGTTTCTAATGATGTCTTATCTGTATGGCCAAAAATGACGGACTATTGTAACTAGTTGGAAGATATAACTGGGTAAAAAAATAATCATGACCGTCGGCAATGACATGGTCGCCAAAGGGGACTGACCACATGTTCCAATGCCTCTTGTACAACTATGGGCATACACCTTTTTAACATCATTTTGAACAAGCTTTGATTTGTTTCATTTAGGTCCCACCCTGTTCCTGTCTCCTCTCGCCACCTGTTCTGAAAATCTTGAATTAACTTTTTCATGTTGTCTTCTCTCCGAGTCCATCACGTTCCTCACTCCTGCATATGTCAGTATCTTGGTGGCTTTGCTTTTCCTGCCACCTGTGCTAATATGGCCTTAATGTCCCCTACTGCCAGTATTTTAAAAAGTGTTAAAAACTTTTTTCTTTTTTTTTTTTTTTTTTTTTTTTTTTTTTAATTTTTTTTTATTTTTAACTTTTACTTTTTCATTTTTATAATATAAAAAATAAAAAAAAAAAAAAAAAAAAAAAAATTAAAAAAAAAAAAAAAAAAAAAAAAAAAACCCCCCTTTTTTTTTATAAGTGAAAATGTTTTTGTAAAATAAAAAAAAAATACAACATTCTCGTTTTTTTTAATAAGTTAATTTCCTTATTTTCAACAAATTCTATTTATTCTAATTTTTTTAATCATAATTTCAAAAAAAAAAAACAATTTATTTTAATAACATCCCCACCTAAAAAAAAAAAAAAAACAAAAAAACACCCTACTCAAAAAAAAAAAAAAAAAAAAAAAAAAAAAAAAAAAAAAAAAGAGACCTTCAATTATAAAAAAAAGATTAAAAAAATTTTCAATCTTTTGGGATTACACAAAAAAAAAAAAAAAAAAAAACAAAAAAAAAAAAAAAAAAAAAAACAGTGCTTCCCCACCCCAGGAGCCGCCGCCCAACAAAAAACCCCAACCCACCCCCCCCCCCCCCACAAAAAAAAAAACAAAAAAAAACCCAAAAAAAAAACCCAACAACAACAGCCCTCACTTCCCTTAATAAATCTCACCCCTTCCCCTCCCCCTTCAAAAAAACACCAACAAAAAAAGGCTGGGCAGGCAGACCTCCAAAGAAAAAACCACAGAAAAACAAAAAAAAAAAAAAACCCCCCCCCCCCTTCCTCTCAATATCTAACCACACCTATTGTTTTTTTCAAAAATTTTGATATTATTTATAAAAAAAAAATGAAATTTTTTGGAAGTTTTTTGAATTTTTTTTGGAATAAAACACAGTGTAAAAAAAAATTAAAAAAAAAAAAAAAAAAAATGGTGTTTTTTTTTTGTTTTTTTGTGGTTTTTTTTTTTTGTTTTTTTTTTCTTTAACCTAAAAAATGAAAAAAAAAAAAAAATTTTTTTTTTTACTACTTAAAGATAAAGATCCAACAATTCGTTTTTTTTTTTTTTTTTTATATTCAAACACAATCGCTCTTGAGTTCTACAACAAATTTAACACAAACTAAACACCCCCACCCCACCACAAAACAAAAAAAAAAAAAAAAAAAAATAAGAGCGGTTTGTCTTTCCTCCTTCCTAACCTATTTTTTTTTTTTTTTTTTGTGGTTTTAAAAAAACCGCCTTTCCTTCTTTCCCCTTAACCAAAAAAAAAATAAATAAAAATATAAAAAAAAGAGGGTCCAAAATTTCTCCCGGTGTAAAAACTTTTTTTTTTCGTTATTGTTTAGTTGTGGTTGTTGTTGTTTAGTTGTGCCCCATCCCTTTTTTAGTTTTTAGGGTAAAAGCTTTTTTCCCCCCCCCCTTTTTGTTTTTTTTTTTTTTTCTTTTTATAAAAAAAAACCTCTTTTTAAAAATAAAATTTTTTGTTTATTTTTGTTGTTTTTTTTTTTTTTTTAAATTTTTTTTTTTTTCCAAACCTATTTTTGACAAACAACCAAAAAAACAGAAAATGAGAAAGGGGGGAAAAATTTTTTTCACACCCGTAAGTAGCCTGTTGTTTTTTCCTCAAACTTAGTTATCCACTTTTGTCCTCCTTGACATATATAGGAGTTGACTTGCCAGTCGTGTTATATCCATGAATGACCACGGCACATAATGCACTCCTCCTCCTTTAACCATCAGAGTGCACTGGTTCACCTCTGATTCCTCCAGCACATCTAGCAACAACTCCTCACTTTCATCTCCATGATTCTGGGGTGGTCTGACTGGTCTTCCAGATTTTGTCCTTCTGTTTTGTTTGGACTTTTTGTTTAGAAAAATTTGCACAGGAAATAAGTTCCCTTTTGGACCCATCTTTTTTGTGGACCAGGAAATAATGGCTGTACAAAAACCTCCCTCCCTTAGGAAACTGGGTACATGTTCCATGGCCCATGTACCCCATTCCCTAAGGGAGGGAGGTTTTTACAGCCATTATTTCCTGGTCCACAAAAAAGATGGGAGTATGCGGCCAATTTTAGATCTGCGTCATCTGAACCGTACTCTTCAGACATACAAGTTCAAGATGCTGATGCTTAAACTTATCGTGCCACAGATTCAGTTCGAGGACTGGTTTGTGGTGATAGATCTAAAAGGTGCATATTTCCACATAGAAATATCGCTAGCTTTATCCCTTCGCACCTTCACAAAGTGCATGGATGTCACTCTGGCTCCACTGTGACTCCAGGGCATCTGCGTAACAAACTACCTGGATGACTGGTTAATTCCAGTATGATCCAGGTAACTGGCGGTTCAACATCAAGATGTTTTCACCCACATGAAGAGCTTGGGGCTGAGGTTGAATCTCGTAGAAAAATGTGCTATCCCCAGTTCAGTGGACAGCTTTTCTAGGGGTTATAAGAATTCTACTACAATGAGGGCGTGTCTATCCCCAACATGCGTAGGGTCAATTGATGGGCTGATTTATCAACCTCGGCCTTGGAATTCTTACAAGAACGTTTCTCAGCGGGATTGGCTCCTTCTACAATCAGGGCCCTTGTTGATAGAGCCTCTGTGGGGCAACATCCTCTAACTTCGGGGTTCATGCGTGGTGTCAGACAGCTGAGGCACATCTGCAGGGCACACATACCTTCCTGGGACCTTTCTGTGGTCTTGGAAAGTGTGTCAGGGGCCCCATTTGAACCCTTAGAGTCAGCCTCTGAGAAGTTTCTGACTCTAAAGGTAACTCTTCTACTGGCCCTGACATCTCTCAAGCGAATGGGAGATCTAAAAGCTCTCTCTGTTGTCCCTTCCTGCCTTGAATTTGAGTGCCTACATCCGCTGCCCATCCTGTGGTGTTGCAGGCTTTCTGCCCTCCTCCGTTCCTCACACAAGAGAGAATGCACCTGCTGTGTCTAGTAAGGGCTGTCTGTAATGACGTCCACCGCTCTGGCCAGTGGCGTAAGTCGGAGCAGCTGCTGGTCTGCTTTGGCGGCGACAGTAAAGGTGATGCTGTGTCAAATTGGATAGTGGAAGCAATCTCTGTGGCTGATGAGGCACGCTGTCTCACCATACCTCTGGGCATAAGAGCTCATTCCACTAGGGTGGTCGCCTCCTCAAAGGCTTTGTCCAAATGGGTATCCTTACAGGATGTGTGTGCGGCTGCAGGGTGGTCTACACCACACACATTCATTACAGCCTGGATATTCATTCCACCCTGGGATCGAGTGTCTTGCAGTGACCCTCGGGCTTGGGTATTTTTGAACAGGCCGTACCCTCGGTATGACAGAGTGGGTATTCACGTTCCCATACTGTTATGCTAAATGCAACGTTGAAGAAGGGAGAAGGGAACAAGATGTTGAATATCATTGTCATACCAGGGCAGGCCTGTGAATTATGTCTTCGTTTCAAATTATAGAGGCTGGCGGCATGGTTCACAGGTACCATATATATATCATGCAACACGCTTAATTGCCATGTCACCTGATCATGGCAGGCCGGTAAGTAGAGGCATGATTCTACACAAGCTTTATATACCGGTCATGCACGCAAGGCGCGCATACTGTTATGCTACATGCAACATCTCGTTCCCTTCTCAGGGAATAGGGTTACATGCGTAACCCGACATTTTTCCTAAAACAAACAGTGGTATCCACAGGCTTTTTTCAGTACTAACTGGCACGTGCAGTCCTGTCACTCAAACGACAGCAGTACCCACAGGTTTTTTCACTAACCTGTCTGTGCAGACCTGTTTTCCTTAAAAAAGCGGTATCCACAAGCTAGTCTTACCTCCAAGCTTACAGTACAGACCTACTTTTCTAAAGACCGCAATATCCACAGTCACAATCTGTCGTACACACTTTACACCCATATGTGCGCATATATGCTTTATACAGGCCCGTTTGCAAACATGTATATTCTCTCAATCCAGTATTTATATTCTACAAAAATGCAACAGTTGTTTCTTATTTGTTTCAGAATTTGCTAAGTTCTTTTTAAGGAGGGTGACAGAGCTGATTCGTCCCAAAATCAGGGCCTCCCCACCCTCACAGACCACACAAAACTACTGCAAAAACTTTGATTTAACAGGTGTTCTGCTTA